AATTGTCACCGCGCCCCGCGGCTCTGCCTCGGCTGCTCATAGTTGAACTCCATTCCCGCACTTTGGGGGGGAAGGTCTTGGCCTCTTTGCCGTGGCGCACCCGCCCTCCTTCCCCCCGCCCCCCTTCCCCCCGCCCCCCTTGTATTCCGCTTGTGGGACTCGGTTTTGTGCAGACCTCAGTGGCCTGTTCTGCTCCCTGTCCTGGATCCTCGATCAATGTCATGTGAATGTGCTTGGTGCAAATGCTATTGCGCTTCTCTGCGATTACCTTTTCGGCCAAATACAATGTTCTGTATGGTCATTACTGCTGTCTTCTGGGCAAGTTTCCGTCTCGATACAGCGATAATGCTGTATGCTCTATGCGGGGGGAAGAGCATGGGTTCTCAGATACTGTGAGAAGTTGGTCTACAGTGAGGAGGGGAAGATTGGTAGGCTCCTGCCATTGGCCCATCAGCCTGACGGGGCTGTTCTGCTACCTTACCTGGCCCCTTCATCACCTTCTTGTGGTACGTTCTATTCGAATTACATCTGGAAATTGGGTTTTTTGAACTTTTTTTTTCAGAAATCGCTTGTTGTTCCCGAATAGAAAGTACGTTTGTAACTTTGTATATAATGTGTACGATACTCGAACACAACGTACGTGTTGTATTCGAATTTTTGCAATTTCGATTTTTCACAGAAAGCAAGAAAAGTCCCCCCAAAAAAAATGCTGTACAACAATGCAGTAATTCCGGACCAAATTCACGAAAAAAAATAAAACAACGGTGGTACTTCGGGCTCCTGAAAAGTTGTACCCTAAAACTTGTGTTATATAATATATAACCTTTTTGTACGTACGTTGTATTCAAATACAACGCAGATAGTACCATCTTCACCCGAATAGAACGCCTGGTCATTATCACTGTATTTAGACCAAAAGTTGCACCGAATGCAGCTATAATGACCGGGCGCTCTATCCGGTGAAGACTGTAGCATCCAGGCCAGGTCATTCTAGCTGCATTTGGGGCAACTTTCAGTCTAGATACAACTATAATGACTGGGCGTGCTGATCTAATGAAGACAGTAGGTGTGTAGATGTTGTGGGAAACTACCGTAGATAGAAAGAAAGACCTGTAGGCTCGTGCCCAGGCTCGTCCTCAACTGCAGGTCCTATCAGCCTAGAGCTTGGGACACCGGCTGTCTATGTTTGTCTTGGGCCTGTCATGGAATGGCCCCTGTCATTGCCCTAATGGGAATGCGTTTGGTGTGAACGTAGTTGGGGTTTTTGCTACTACGTTTAGCCGGTGGGGGGAACTAGGAGCAAACCCTGCTGGTATATGTTTGTCCTCGGAAAGTATGGACCTGTGAGGGTGGCCAGGTTTTTGTGTACCTAGGACAAACATAGCGACAATGGTGCCAGGCCCTCGGTGCGACAAAAATATCTGTGGGCGCACCCCATGGTGCCTTCAGCCTGTAGTAGCTGGAGGGACCCACTGAGTGCCTGTGCCGTGCGCGTGCCAGGACACTGTTATGAAATGCAGACGTCACCAGAATTAGGGTGTGAGTTATATAAGACCTCTCTGAGTTCCTGCCATGGCGGGCGACGGATGCACTGTGCTCCCTATGTAAGCTTTTTATACATTGTAGCTATCGGCTAGAGTGACGCTGGACCTGTTTTCCAGCCGGTGTAGCTCCCCACCAATAGACTGGAGCGACCAGGAAGCCAGCTAGGAGGGGGTGCTCTTATCCCCTCTCCTGGCTGAGTGACTGGCTTAAGAAACAAAGGAAAAAGAAAAAAAGAAAGAGAACAGTTACCTTTGTGTTTTGGTGACGTTGTCAAAACGGCAAGGTACTTGGCTTGTGAAGTGGGCAGGTCCTCTGTCAGTGGTGATTGGGTGACGTTGTGGAAACAGCATAGTACTTGGCCATTGTGTTTATTTAACTGTGGAAGGGGTTGTTTTATGGGCATGGCGGACAATCTGGCTGTAGTGGTTAAGAGACTTGGCTCTTGAGGCCGAGGTTGCCGGTTCGAATCTGTGCTTGTACGGAGGAGGGCTTAGGCCCAGATGTACGGATCCATAACTACTGTGGAAGGCTCCCGTGAGCTGGCGGGCAGCACAGTGCAATGTATCCCGGAGAATTGAGCGGGCTCAGTACCAGTGGGGTTTACGTACTGATTGGAGCGAAGTGTGCCGTGTCCGTGGGTGTTGAATGTGCTGTGCGTCCGCCGAGTTGGACACTACAGCCTTGCAGGGGTGGGGTGGATATCATGACCGGTATGGTTCCACTTTTGAACACCGTGTCTTGGCTGTAGTGGTTAAGAGACTTGGCTCTTGAGGCCAAGGTCGTCGGTTCAAATCTGTGCTTGCACGGACGAGGGCTTAGGCCCAGATGTACGGATCCATAGAACCACTGACAATCTAATCCGAATGCGAGTCATGTTTTGGAATCTTTTTCTAGCACTGCGCGGACTATTGTCTTTACCCAAACAGAACGCCTGTCGTTAGAGATGGTAGTTGGCCCACTTTCAGTCTAGACACAGCGGTAATGACCGGGCGTCCTATTCAGGTGAAGACAAGTCTCTTAACCACTACAGCAAGGACACGGTATTCGGAAGTGGAACCATACCGGTCATGATATCCACCCCACCCCTGCAAGGCTGAAGTGTCCAACTCGATGGTAGCTGGTAACCTCACAGCTCTGTTTCTCTTTTCTTTGTTTGCTTTGTTTTTTTGTTTGAGGGGGGTTAACCCCTAACTTTGTTTTATCCACCAGGAGTTTCGAAGTTCAAACTCGTGATTTACTGTCTACCAGCAGTCAGATGTGTGTATTACTGCAGCCTGCTACATGGGCTGGGCTCACAGTTTCAATTCTTCTCTTTCTGCTTAGTACTAACAGACTTGTCGAGGTACCGGAATGGGCTCCAGGAACTGATCCATGGTCCAAGTTGTGTGGCCGGCGTTGCTGTCACTCTACCGCCTTCACCCGAATGGAACGCCCGGTCGTTATAGCCAAATTTGTTGCAACTTCCAGTCTAGGTGCAACGATAATGACCGGGCGTTGTATTGGGGTGAAGACGGTAGTACTGGTTGAGATCATACGAGGGAGCAGAGGATCTTCGGCTCTCTGTCTTGTACTAGCGAAAAGAACAGGCTATCGAGTAGGTTATCACATAGGTTATCACGTTGTAGGTTATCACGTTGGTTATCACATAGGCNTGTACTAGCGAAAAGAACAGGCTATCGAGTAGGTTATCACATAGGTTATCACGTTGTAGGTTATCACGTTGGTTATCACATAGGCGAGATCAACTAGGCTATCAAGCAAGTCTGTCATAGGTTAGACCTTTGCCATTACCAAGCCATTAGACACTACCTGTGATACCTAGAAATTCATGCTAAAGAATCTACTGGGGGTACGCGGGTCTAGTTTCAGGGACACTCCGAACCCCTCATGAAGGCCTGCAGTAGTGGCTTCATACCTTGCTCTAGAAGTACCCATACAACGGGCTTGTGCGACTCTGCTTCAACCTGGGCTGAACAGGGTGCCTGCAACTGCTGTCTGGTCAGGTTACCCCGCCAAGATGGTGATGGGTGACGGTCTCGGGTGGTTATCACTACCGTCTCACCCTGAACATAACGCATATGCATTGTATTCGAGTTTTCCAAAAACCCGGTTCTTGAGAAGTTAGACCCTTTTCTTTGAACAGAAGGGGATTTCGAATTCGAATAAAATGCATATGCCTTCTATCCGAATTTCAGGAAGAGAAAACTGTTGTATTCGAATAGAATATTACTTTTTTTTTTTTTTTGAGGTTAGTGCCTTCTCTCTCTCTCTCTCTCTCTCTCTCTCTCTCTCTCTCTCTCTCTCTCTCTCTCTCTCTCTCTCTCTCTCTCTCTCTCTGTGGTCACTGTGACGTGCTCCCCTCAGCAGGCTGTGTGTGTGTGTGTGTGTGTGTGTGTGTGTTCAAACCTGCCCTTTGCGCACCGCCCTGACTGACAGCCAAGAAAGTGGAAGCTTGATGCCAGGAGGGATACAACGCGCCTCACTCCACCATTCAGCAAGGCCTCGCTCCACTACTTTCCAAGAGCAAAAACGACAGAAAGCAGAGCATTGTATCTTTCCATGTTCTAGTGGAGGATTGGTTCTCATTTTGCTGAGGGGAGTGGAGCGAGGCTCCAAATAGGGAAAAGGAGTGAATCTTTGGCCAGAACATGGGAAGGTACAATGCCCGTCTGCCACGGTTCAGAACTGAGCCTACTCAGCCTGGACCCGATCCCCTTGTCTCGGCAAAGTTTCTCCTCTCAACTTGAATAAAACACTTGCAAATTAAACGAATACAATGCCCGACCCCCTTGTCTCGGCAAAGTTTCTCCAGCCAGATGCCTTAACCGCTGCAACCAAAACGCTGTGTTCAAAAGTGGAACCATAGCTGTTGTGATATCCACCCCACCCCTCCATGGTTGCAGTAGAGTACCCACATTCCTGCACACACAGCATCCTACTAGACCAGGCCTTACATGCTATCTGTATCTTGTTGTTTCCTGCAAGGTACCCTTACGTGCTTGTTGTTGTGCATTTTCGATATTTGTCGGTACTGTTGTGTCCACGCGTTTTGTCCAGTTTTGTTTTGGTCTGAACGTACGGTCATTGAAAATGCGAATAAAAGAAAAGCCGTTTTTGGTGTGGAGTTTCCTATTCATGGAGTTCCTATAGGCATATATTTGATTGCTTGCTTGCTGTATTTGGTTTAACGTGTGTCCTGTCACCTATGGTGGACTGGTTGTCATGCCAGTGGCATTGCCAGGTCGCTACGTTGGTAGAGCTTCCACACTTGAAACGACAAAGACGGGCAACCAGCAAACCCTAAGGGCATCATCTTACAGGCATGCTCACATTGCTCGGTTCATTCGCGGCCTAACTCTGGTGCACCGTGTGTGGTCTCGTCTCTCCTCGATCTCGCGTTTGTCATTGTCTTTGGTATGGTGTGTTGTAATTTTCTTGAACCTCTGCGCTTACAGTACCTGAGGGATCATAAGACATTCGTGTCGACAGCCCGACACTGGACCGAGACTTTTGCAACCAGAGCTTCCGTCGGCATGAAGGAGAAGGTACTTTTTGCACTTGCTGCTCTTCCTGTTTTCGTTCCTGCTTCCATTCCTGTTTCTGTTCCATTTCCCTTTCCCGGCCCCGGCCCCGGTCCCGGTCCCTTTCCCGTTCGCGTTCCCATTCCCACTCCTGTTTTCATTCCTGTTTCGGTCCTGGTTCCAACTGTTCCCGTTCCTGATTCCGTTTCTGCTTGTGCCAGTGTTTGAAGTGTGAACTGCCGAGGGATTATGAATGGATTATGCATGGATGGACGTAAATCTCTGTGCGATAGGATGCGTTTGCTGCTCGTCGCATTTCTGTTCCTGTTTCAGTTCCTGTTTCTGGCCCTGTTTTTAGACCAGTCTCCGGCCCTGTCTCTGTGCCTGCACCTGTCCCTGTTTCCGTTCCTCGTTTTTTTCTGTTTCCGTACCTGCTTGTGCCAACATTCGAAGTCCATGCTGCTGAGCTTTTACGAGTGATAGATGTAAATCTCTGTGTGACTGGAAAGGGATAATAGGTATGTGTGCTTGCACTGATGGTTTCCTCTTGCTAACACGCAGTGGTGGGGCCAATGTCCGGTTGGACCATAGATAAATTATAAGCGATCAACAGACGGAAACAACAGAGTCCAAATAAATGCGAGCTTGCCCCTAATGATGTAGGTTTGGGATTAGATCGTCAGGCTCCGAATCGGTGCATGTTACTGAGTGTCGTTTTCCTTTATAATGATCAGCTATGCAATTTACCTTTAGCGCTTTTATCCTTTGCTTTTTACCCTTAGCTATTTACTCTTCACTGAGGCTTCAGCTATTTTACTTTCACTGCTTACCTTTAGCTGACAGGAAGGTTCACAGGTCACATATAGACTGGACTGCTGTCCTCAACTGAATAGGATGCCTGGTCATTATCGCTGTATACAGACTGAATTTGCGCCAGATACGTTTATAGTGATGGGGCGTTTCCATTCATGCGTGTCGTTCTTGTGCAAGGGCCATGCTAACCTATGCCGCGGCTGATCTCAGCCGCGCGATCTCGATGATCGCACGGCCGAAGTTGGCTGCGACATACCGTTCCGAGACCGGTCCACTCCAACAAAAGGAGCTAGCCCAATTTTAAGATATCTCGGATTCGATGTCTGCATCTGCGGCATGTGAGCCTGATGTCTTACCTATTTGGCTAGTTCCTACTATGGGAATAGTAGGAGATAGTAGGAGTAGCTCCTCTATATGAGGAGCTTGCCCTGGCTACGCCTCCTGCCCGTGGCCCAGCAGGCGTTGCCAGCTCGAGCCCTGTGCAGCAGGTTGGGTACGCAGCTTACCTGGGGTAGCAACCCCCACCATCTCGCCCCTAGGTCCTGCTCGGCCGCGGTCACGCACCTGACGCAACTGTCATTACCAACCACTCAGGCCGTGAATCACGTGGCTGTCCTTGACAAAGATAGGTTGAAATTCACTGTTCCATTGGCCGCGTGTCCTTGTGGCCTCATCAGAACGGGATAAAACTAGTCACACTGCCGTTCTCGTCACAGATCCGATTTAAGTTTTGAAAGAGTTTTAGCCTCTCAGTCGTAGGTCAGGTTTGAATAACTTCCGACAAATGCGCCAGCCTCATCAAGTCAAAAATTTCTTCGAAAGTCCGACAGCGTCTGACATTCAAAATACCAAGCAGATACCCTTGTAAGGGTTTCTGCTCCAACACCGTTACACCGGAGTTTGTTTGGTCTGGCAAAATTTTGAAGAGGAATTACAAAAAGCACTGTGGAATGAAGATGAGAGAACATAGTTCAGGAACAATAGAGATTAAGGGGGGGGGGGGCAGGCAAGCTGGTTCCCAAAAACACACACACAGGCGGAACAGGGGCTGTTGTGAGGAAAATTTAGGACACCAACACAGTAAGTTCTATGGCTGTGTCAGATTAGTTTCTTAGACTTGCTGCCATTCTTGTCAGGGGTTTGGAGGACCACAAAGTCGACCACTTTTCTCTCAAGGGAGGGTATCGCTAACTCTGGACGATGAGGTGAGTCCTTAATATCCATCAGTCAAATGCAACCTGGGCAGACTGTCGGGGTTCAAACTCCTGACGAGTTAAGGAAAGTCCAATGAAACAGTCTAGCACAGTCATGCTTCTTTTTCGGTGGAGTTACGTATAGCGAACACATGACAACACACATGCGCGCAGGTGGAGCACACTGACAGGTGGAGGCATTCTGCGTGCTAGCTGAGCCATTGCTTGGTAAACTTTGTGGCGAGTACTTCGACCCAGGGACGTTGGCAGCCTCCCTGTTCTGAGCCGACAGGCCTAAAACCCTGGACCATGGTGTTACCTTTTCACTACAATCTCTCTTCCCTTTTCTTGTGGATCATGGCTTACAAACTTGTTCTTTTCCTGGAAGTAAAATTTTGGGAATTTGAAAAATACTTCACCTATGATCTCAGTGATACAATATGAGAATCAGCAAAGGGATTTAAATTTTAAATTTTAAATGGGGATATCCGTGCCGATGGCGTGGCACGAACAACATGCCCTGCTTACGACCCTCTCTATGGTAACCCCCCTCACTCAACGTCTCATCACCTCTATGCACGACTGCCTAATAGAGTTGACGGGGTCGCACATCATGACTGGAGCACTAGTCTTTATGATGCAGGGCACTGGTTTAAAAGGTGACTCAGCTATGTGGCAGCAGTAGCCCGAGTGCAACAAATTGAACCTGCAATCAGGAGGCATCAAGCAAAGCCCTATTCAACCAGGAATGGATGCGCAGCAAGGACAGTCACTTAGCTATGCTCTCCAAGGCGTGATCAAGTCTCTGCGCAGTAAGGACAGTCAGCTTTATCAAGAAAGTGGTGTACGGCGTTGCTGGATCGTGCAGAGTGGTGAGGAAGTCATTTTGGATCTCTAGCAGATTGCACATTCCCTTCGAGGCTGTATGCCACACAGCGGATTTTACAACAATGTAAACAAACCAGCCACACAACAGGATTCTTAACAATGCCCTAAATGCTGTTCGTGAAGCACATGATTACGCTTTGGTGCGGATCCCACAAGGCAGAAAGCCAGTAGAAATTTACGCGACTGTAGGTCCTCATGGCGGGGACACTCTTTCAGCGTCAGAAACAGAACAGCACTCGCGGTTTGTGGTCTTTAATACTTATCTTTACACAACAGATGACACTTTGTGCCTTCAGGTGGTCGGTACTGCTATCAGCACTAACACTGTACCAGGTTGCTGACTTCGCGCTCTACTGGGACGAAGCACAGTTCATCAACGAACTTCGCTGGCAAGATCTGCGTGCTGCTCAAGGGTATGCATTCGCATATGGATTCATTTATGGCATACTATCATGGAAGACATCGCTGGTGCACCTGATCGGTGTGGTCGAAAGTGGAAAGACACTGCTGAGCAAGATGGATCATGTCTTTTCCTTGGGGAAAGACATTGTTGAGCAAGATGGATCGTGTCTTTTCCTTGGGGCTAGAATCCTGGTTCAGCCAGAGGGCTCACTTTGCATTGGTGCCTTTGATAAGGCTGAGGCCTGGACATTCATTGCCGTATGTCATCTCAGTGCTTCCTCCAATTCCCCAGCTCATCAGCCTGCAGGTGTGCTCATGGGGCATCTAACCAGGCTTGAACAGATCTGTAACACTACCACAGATTTCAAAGCTGCAGTGAACTCCATGACACGGTGTATGCTTGTTAGGGGCCATCCTCCCGGTGTCCTTGCCAGAGGCTGGGCTGCATATGTGTGTGCCCGGGAGCGCGGGCTACCCACTCATGTCGCACGGCTTTCGAACTGGTTTCGCCGCATGGTGCTCTGGGCAATTGCTCACCCATTGCCACATGCTAATTCTGCGCACAGGTCCTCCACACAACCATATGCAACAGGCCAGCATCCGCKCCATCCTCCCGGTGTCCTTGCCAGAGGCTGGGCTGCATATGTGTGTGCCCGGGAGCGCGGGCTACCCACTCATGTCGCACGGCTTTCGAACTGGTTTCGCCGCATGGTGCTCTGTGCAATTGCTCACCCATTGCCACATGCTAATTCTGCGCACAGGTCCTCCACACAACCATATGCAACAGGCCAGCATCCGCTCCCTAACACCAATTATCACCACAGGCAGCATCAGCCCTCCACACAAGCGAACGCAGTGGGCCTACCCTGTCCTGTTATTCCTACTGAAACGGAAGATGCTAATGTGGATATGCCAACTCAGCTGGAAACCATGCTGTCCGCGATAAACAATGTGAATGTGGAGGCCTGCATCCTACCAATACGGCGACCGCTGCTGAAAGCATACCGCCTCCACTTCCACCATCGTCACCTCCACCTTCGCCTCCACCACCACCACCACTACCGCCATCAGGGCCCATCGCTACCACCATTATCATCACCACCACCACCTCCGTCACATACATCCTCTACTACATAATTCCCCCAGTCATCTGCCTCCCGTTCTTCTACTCCCTCTTCTCCCTCTTTCTCTTCATCCTCATCCTCACCTCGCATGCCTCCCCTTCGTCGTCGACCTCATCATCAACACATTCATGGTCAGATCAGCCGTTAGAAGGCCTCATTGGCAGAGGTATCTGTCGTCAGATCGCTCATCACAGATGCCTCTTGGGTGGAGGTGTTCTCCATCTCCACCGCTGCCTCCGACACAGCGGCCTGGTTTGTCCTTGAACAGCATGATCATCCCCCCTCCTGCAGGGTTCTTCTCTGACGACATGCTCACAACCATATGGTACGACGTCATCGCTCTCAATATACACTAGTCAGTAGTAGTAGTACATCTCGAGTCCAGTGCCCACGATGTGGCCACAATTTCTTTTGTTCTGCAGGCCTGCCGGTGCACCAAACACGAGGTGCAGCTGCAGCATTTGCATGACTGGCAGCCACTCTGAGCACAAGTGGGGCTGATCAGCTTCCTCTTCCTGCATTTGACCCACCCATTTCTCAGCCACCTAGCCTTGGTCCTTCCCCCGCCCCAATTGACTATGATCCACGTTTGGATCACCTGATG